TTTGTGCACCGGGCCTCTAGTGTTTTTTATAAAAAGGTAAAATGTTTTCTAGTATAGCCTCACATCATAAACACTTAAAGAAAAGTGAGATGAAATAAGATTAGAAACCAATCTAGGAGATGGTACAAATATTGAAAGTAAGGTGGATCAAATAACTTGGCAATACTTGCTGTTTCTTGAATAGTTTTTTTTAAAGCTAAACCAAAATAAACAGAATAAAAGAAGTATATACATAATGACAAAATTAAAACCCATATGATAAGATTGGGTTTTAGACAAGAACAAAGACATTAGACAATTGGCCATTCATGAATATTGTTCAGAGATGAGTTAATAGTATTGTATCAGTGTTAACTTCCTGGTTTTAATAATTGTACTATGATTATATAAGAAAATAGCATTTGGGGAATGGGTGAAAAATATTCAGAAATAATTTGTAATTTTTATAACTTGAAATTAGTTCAAAATAAAAAGTCAAAATAAAGGGAGGAAATGTAGATGTCAATTATGAAAAAAACAAGAAAGAAGAAAACAGAAACAGAAAAAGTAGAACTGGAAAAAAACGTAGAAGATAGAAAGAGGCCTAATTCTTTTAATGAATATATACACAAATGGGCTAAATAAGCAGATCTAGCCATTTGCTGTTTTATGATACATATATAAGCAAAACGTCAAAAGTAAAAGGATGGAAAAATGTATTAGGTAAATTTTAACTAATATAGAGCTGGTGCAATTACACTAATATCAGATAAAATAGGTCTGAGAAAAAAACATTATTATGAACAAAGAGGATAAATGCCCAGCCTGCATGGCTCAGTGGTTGAGCGTTGACCTATGAACCAGGAGGTCACAGTTGGATTCCCAATCAGGGCACATGCCAGGTTGCGGGCTTGATCCCCAGTGTGGGGCATGCAGGAAGATGTAGATCAATGATTCCCTCTCATCATTGATGTTTCTATCTCTCTCTCCCTCTCTTTTCCTCTCTGAAATCAATAAAAATATATTTTTAAAAAGATGATAGCCCTAACCGGTTTGGCTCAGTGGATAGTTGCATCAGCCTGTGGACAGAAAGGCCCCAGGTTTGATTCTGGTCAAGGGCATGTACCCTGGTTGCAGGCACATCCCCAGTAGGAGGTGTGCAGGAGGCAGCTGATCAATGTTTCTCTCTCATCAATGTTTCTAACTCTCTATCCCTCTCACTTCCTCTCTGTAAAAAATCAATAAAATATATTTTAAAAAATAAATAAAAATAAAAAGATGATAAATACACGATAAAAGGTTCCATTCAACAAAAAATTGTAACAATAACTATCATGTAGATCTTTAATAAAATCACTTCAAGATGTAATGAACAAAATTTGATAAAATTAGGGAGACGCCAAAAAATCCATAATTATAGTGGAATATTTCAATATCTCTCTCTCCCTACTTGGTTAAGCATACAAAAGAAAAATCAGCAAGAAAATAGAATATTTGAATAACAGTGAAAAGTCTGATCTAATGGACTTAGCATTTATTATAACTCTGTTTTAGCAAACACCAAGGAATAGGTAGAAGCCAGGATTGAAAAGGATCATCCTTACAAAAACCATCTATAATAATAAAAGTGTAATAATAATAATAAAAGCTGGGGCTGCGAGGGAAGCCTGCGTCCTGGGTGCCAGAGGGAAGCCAGTGCTGGCAGCCAGGGGAAGGAAGGACTACTCTTGCACGAATTTCATGCATTGGGCCTCTAGTGAAAGTTATAAAAGCCTACTTCTTAGGAGACTGTCTTAGTAGTCTTCCCACTCAATACTCTAGGCCAGCTGTGGGCAAACTACGGCCCGCGGGCCAGATCCAGCCCGTTTGAAATGAATAAAACTAAAAAAAAAAAAAGACCGTACCCTTTTATGTAATGACGTTTACTTTGAATTTATATTAGTTCACACAAACACTCCATCCATGCTTTTGTTCCGGCCCTCCGGTCCAGTTTAAGAACCCATTGTGGCCCTCGAGTCAAAAAGTTTGCCCACCCCTGCTCTAGGCATTGCTCATCTTACAATTGAGGGAAAATAAGTGAGTAGTCTAGAAAGGGTCTGCATCTCAAAAACAATGCTCTTACTTAATATGAACTAAACTAGAGGCCTGGTGCATGAAATCCCTGCATGGGCGGGGGCGGTCCCTCAGTCCTGCCTGCACCCTCTTGCAAACTGGGATTCCTCGGGGGATATCCAACTGCTGGTTTAGGCCCGAACCACTTGCCTACCTGCCTGATCGCCCCTAACCACTCGCCTGCCTGCCTGATCACTCTCAACTGCTCACCTGCCTGTCTGATTGCCCCTAACCACCTCTGCCTCGCCTCCTGCCACCACAGCTTCATCCGGAAGGATGTCCAGAATGACGTCTGGAAGGTCATTCGGCTATCCAGTCTAATTAGCATATTATTATGCTTTTATAATTATAGATAGTAGAAGAAGGAGACTACCAAACTCCCTAAACTTCCAAACTAAGGTTTACTGAGCCCATATTTTAGTAAGATCAGAGAAAGAAAACTACTAATAGTTCTTAAATAAAAAACTTTGTATTTAAGGAAGGAGTAATACTGCTAAGAAGAAAAAGTATTTCTCATGTTATATGACTTTGAATATATGCTAATAGGTACCATTTGGTAAAATGGATTAATAGAAAGATACAATGCCCCTATTTAAAAATTAACAGAAAATATTACCTGGTGAAAGAAAAGTAGTTTTTAACACTGAATTGATAAAATCTCATGCCAGAAAATAATAATAATCTATTCAAGCAAAATTAGTACAATTTTGATTTGCTTTTAAAATTAACCATTTTTAAAGCAAGTATAAGATAATTTGCTGTTAGTTACATGAAAAAAATATGAGGAAAATGTTATTTTTACTCTAATTCTTCTAATGATTCAAGAAAAGTAAGATACTTTTCAACTCCCATAGTTTTAACCAGATATATTAAAAATAAATATGAAACTATAGAATTTTATATAAATGGGTGATTGTACAATATTTAAAATAACACAGGGAATGACAGAGTGTGTCAGATTTCATAAATTCAGATAGCTTAGTCTAAGACAACCATATGCCCATGCATGTGATTTAATAATTACGTAGCAATACATTTACAGTCTTCAGCAGGCATCATGGTTAAATAGAAAGGGCACTAGACTTTGGATGAGGAAACAGAGCCTGGAAATAGCACTAGCAGAAAAAAGAAATAATAAATATTCAGATACCAGAGGTATGGAATGGGTGGTTGTACAATATTTAAAATAACACAGGGAATGACAGAGTGTGTCAGATTTCATAAATTCAGATAGCTTAGTCTAAGACAACCATATGCCCATGCATGTGATTTAATAATTACATAGCAATACATTTACAGTCTTCAGCAGGCATCATGGTTAAATAGAAAGGGCACTAGGCTTTGGATGAGGAAACAGAGCTTGGAAATAGCACTAGCAGAAAAAAGAAATAATAAATATTAGAAGGAGAAATAAAATGGAATTATAAAAAAAGAAAATAAATGAAAACAAGATTTGGTTCTTCAAAAATATAAACAAGATCAACAAGTTTAGCTATAAAGACCAAGAAAAAAAAGAGATGATGGTTGCACAACAATATGAATGTACTTAAAGGACAGTTAAAATTTGTTAAAATGGTAAGTTTTTGTCATACATATTTTAGCATAAAATTAATACAAGAGAAACACCTAGAACTGAGTAATATTTTCAGATTAAAAAGCCACAATAAATTAAATGAAAAGAATATCTACCTTAGGTAACAAACAAATATGAGACAAATCACTGTGAAATTTCAGAACAGCTGTTATAAAGAGAAAATGCTAAAAAGTTTGTCAGATGGGGAAAATAATACACGTTAATATACAACAAACTGAGAACTAAATGGCAATATACATCTCAAAGGTAACAGTGGAAGCTAGAAGAAAATAAAGCAATAAAAAAATTCAGAAGGAAGTTCTACACAGTCAAATCATCAACCAAGTGCAAGTGAAGCATAAAGACATGTTTTGACTTTCAGGCTTTAAAAAATTTACCTCCCAGATATAATTTCTCAATAAACTAATGAGGAATACATTGTATTAAAATAATAAAATAAATCAAGAAAGAAAAAGATGTAGAATCTTGGAAACAAGGGTCCCAACACAGCATAGATAAATACGTTCTTGAGATCACAGTTGAAGAAACGATAGCCTTTAACATCAGCTTTAGTCAGTAAGAAGTTTTGAAGAATTCAGCAAAATGAAAGGCTAAAGTAGAAATATCTTAAAAAAATATTTAATGCACTTGGGGATAGCAGTGCTATGAGATTTCCAAGCAAGTTAAAATAACTGTATAATGAAGCAAATATAATCCTAATACAGTGGGGCCTTGACTTATGAGTTTAATTCATTCCGTGACGGAGCTCGTAACTCAAATTACTCGTATGTCAAATCATTAAAGTGAACGAGTGAGACACATGATGCTGGGCTGATGTTGTGGCGTTCACTGTGACATTCGCTGTGCCACCTAGCAGTGGGGTATCTGAAGCTGGCTAGTAACCCGAATTTTAGCTCTCAACTCAAAGCAAAAAATCATCCGAGAGACAGCTCGTATCTCGAAAAACTCGTTAGCCGGGACACTCGTAAATCAAGGCCCCACTGTATGTTGTGTGGCTCAGCTGTAATGTTTACACAGCCATAAAAATTAAAATATTAAATATTAGTTAACCCCCAAATAGTGATAATATAATTCTATTGGGATAATAGAGGAGGAGCATGTAAGCATGTGTATTAGGAAGGATTTATAACTGTATAATGTGAATATTTGTAAAATGTTAAATGAGATATGGATATTTTATCTAGAATACTCAACTTGAATTTCATGGAGTCTTATATTTATAGGTCAAAATTAACATGTCCAATTTCTGAAAAATTTAATTACTCTTCTTCAAAATCTACTTTTCAAATATAATTTAAAAATTCATATAACTAACCTTTTTGAATGAGATGTCTTGATTTTTTGCCAATATCTTTTTTCTTTAATTCCGATAAAGGAGAGGAAACATGTTTTTTCTGTTTATTCAAACTTATTAAATCGACAGGAGAAAGTATATTCTGTGGAAACAAAATAAAAGCAATGACACCAATGATAATCTCATATATATTTTAGAGTTCTCAAAGAATTCTCACTTGTTAAACATCATCATTGATTTTCATTTTAAAACAACAACAAAAACCTGTGAGACAAGCCAGAGTTAGGAAAGGTGAAAAGAACTCCACTGTGTGTTATTCTGATTAATTATTTTTCCATTAAGAGTTTATGACAATGCTCTAAGAGACATTAAACAAAAGGGGGACATTTCAGGAGGATGGCATAATTAAAGGAACTAAGGGGGAGAAGAAATGAGGAATAAATAGAGAAGTGTTAAGTGTTTAGTGCTGCCCAGAAAGCCTAAAGGAAAATTCAGAGTAAGAAAGAAGATGAAAAATTACTTCACAGAACACTAAAAGGTAGTAACAAAGAAAGAAAGAGAAATTGGACAAGAATTATCACAAGTCTTAAAAGTACAAATGGATCAGATATGTGTGGAAGGAATAGATATTGAAAGGAGCTTCACAGAGAATGGGCCACTCTCAGATGTAAACTGGGCAATGTCTGTAAAGTGGGTGGAAATGTTTTAATAACTAATACTGTGCTATCCCTTTTTCTCTTCAAAGTCCATCCAGGAGTGATACAGAGGATCCATGAGGTCAAGAACCCAGGTTCTTTAAAAATTTGTCATCTCTACCTTACTGCATCTCCAAGGCTTCTATACTCAATGTTGACTCTGGAGTCAAAATAGCTACTAGAGCTCCAAACACAATGTGTGTATCTCAGTCAGCAATATGGAGAAAAGGGTGAATGATAAAACACAGGCCATGTGTCTGAAGAAACTTTCCCCCAGGTCCTTTCAAATAACTTTAGTTTATTTCTCATTGATCACCCATAACTACAAAGGAGAGTATAAGAAATACAGCCTTTTGCTAGGTTCTTTGCTGCCTGAAGTAAAACTGAGTATCTCTTAAAAAAAAAAATACAAAGACAGGTATTGGTAGGCAATCAGTAACAGACTGCCACAGAAAAAAATAAGAATCTTGGGAGGGGATATACATTTGTATTTTGAAAAACCTTTCTATTATGCTTTCCTTGACTAGAACCACTGTCTTAATTATAAAGACTCTAAATATATATCTTCAAGTAAATCTCCTTTGTGAGATGTTTGTTTCTGTATATTTGTGTATGGAATACTTGTATAGTGCTTATCATTTGTCATTGTTTCAAACCTCTGTACAAATATTAATTTATGTCATACTCATAACAATTCATATTAATCTATGCTCATACTCATTTATGTCATACTCATGAACTATGCTCTTTCACCTAGAAAATGTCATAGACATCTTATATTCAAGAAAACTGAAGTCATATTTTTCCTTTAAACCTACTAATACTTCTTGTTTTGGTGACTAGCACCACCTTCATCCATTGAGAGGAAATTCACATAAACTCTCTAATATGTGATAGCTGGCAGAATTTTGAAATAGAGAACTCATTATCATATCTATCTTGACCTATCCACTTGTGCAAACGTCCTTATTCCACAATTTAACAGAGACACTTGAATATGTGTCTTGGTCCCCTGTATTTACAATTTTCTGCCCAAATCCCTATACCATATAATAAATATACATTTAAATAAATATCTTTGAGTTTCTAAATTTTAAATTTTATATGTGTTCTCTAATTTTTTATTGAAAATGATTTGTTTTGATGTGATGACTCACTGTGCAGGAATTTTTGAATGCTCATGACAGATACAAACTGGTCTTAGAATAAATCTCAGTTTTTGTTTTTCACTAAAGTTTTTTTTGCTAATCAATTCTTACATTTACATGACAAATATACTTTTTGATAGAAAAACAAATAAGTAGGTACTTTTGAGCTCATGTATTCCTTTTATAGTTAGATTTTCTTACAGTTGCCAAGAATAATTGTAATATAATACACAACATCAATACTACCAAAATATGACTTTTAATAATGTTGCTTCTATTTTCATCTGGGTTCAAATCTTTCCATTAAACAAAGTAGGACAAAAATGTAGACAACTGTTTTGCAACCAAATCTGTAACAATCAATTGCAAATGCTTTTCAACCTTAAATTTACCTATCAATTCTATTCTTAACTCTTCAAGTTATGTCATCATTCTTTTGTTTTATTACTTCTAGGCATTTTCCTCTATTTTGGTAATCTCTTTGTCTGCCCCTCCTAACAATATAATTCATCAAAAACCTTTGCCATTCTACCTTTTAAATGTATTTCAAATCTGTTAACTTCTCTCTATTTTCACTTTACTTCTTCTAATCTAAACTATAATAACCCCTTCCAACCATAAATAGCCTCCTGTTGGTCTCAGTCTTCACCCTGGCTTTCACAAGACATTTATTAAAAGGTACATCTGATTATGCTTCTCTTTTGCTTTAAATCCTCTGATGGCTGCCCAAGGTGCTCAGTCTTTACTATAAGCTACAAAAACACACACACACACACACACACACACAAAAAAAAAAAAAAAACAGCAAAATACAGTCCTTGACCATACAGCCAAACTAATCTCATTGCTATTAGACTTTGTGTATTATACTCCAAGCACACTGTATTTCATTCAATCCTTGAACCCAACTCAAATTAAACAAGATATTGCATGCCTAAGTACCTTGTGCAAGCTCTTCTCACTGCCTAGGCCACTCTCCTTCCTATGCTTTGCATGGCTAACTTCCTATTGTTCAGATCTTAACTGTAAATATTAGCTCCTCAGAAAAACTTTCTGTGACAGTCTTGTAAAAAGTAGGCTTCCTCCTACAATTCTCTATCTCAAGCACCCTATTTATGTAGGTTATAATTTCAAATTGAGAGAATACAATGCTAGCTCAAGATTAATAACTAATACTAGCTAGATAAAGGGCATAAGGAAGTTTCAGAGCATACAGGTTTCTTTCTTTGAAAATCTCTCCAAAAATGTATTTATTACTCTTATGACAAAGCCATTCTACTCACAATACTATTTTTCCTAATACATGTATTACCTTGTATAATAGTTAACATATTATATAGTGACTAGAGGCCCAGTGCACAAATTTGTGCACTGGCAGTGGGGGGGTGTCCCTCAGCCCCACTTGTGCCCTCTCACAGTCTGGGACCCCTCGGGAGATAATGACCTGCTGGCTTAGGCCTACTCCCAGGTGGCAGAGGGCAGGCCCAATCCCTAGGTGCCTGCCCCGCAGCCCCTGGTCGGGCTCAGAGCAGGGCCGATTGGGGAGTTGGGGCGCCTCCCCCTGTCATGCACAGAGCAGGGCAGATCAGGAGGTTGTGATGCCACCCCCAGTCACGCTCAGGGTAGGGCTGATTGGGGGGTTGGGGCGCCGCCCCTGTCACACTCAAGGCAGGGTCGATAGGGAGGTTACAGCGCCACCCCCTGTCATGCACAGAGCAGGGCGGATCAGGGGGTTGTGGTGCCACCCCTGTCACATATAGAGCTGGCCAATCAGGGGGTTGGGGCGCTGCTCCCTGTCACACACAGAGCAGGGCCAATCAGGGGGTTGGGGAGCTCCCCCCTGTCACGCACAGAGCAGGGCCGATCAGGGGGTTGGGGAGCTCCCCCCATCACACACAGACTAGGGCCAATAGGGGAGTTGGGGCACCGCCCCCTGTCACACACAAAGCAGGACAGATCAGGGGGTTGGGGCACCGCCTCCTGTCACCCACAGAGCAGGGAAGATCAGGGGGTTGGGGCACTCCCCCCTGTCACACTCAGGTCAGGGCCAATGGGGAGGTTGAGGCTCCACCCCGTCACACACAGAGCAGGGCCCATGGGGGGGTTAGGGCGCCGCACCCTGTCACACACAGAGCTGGGCCGATCAGGGGGTTGGGGAGCTCCCCCCCATCAGGCACAGAGCAGGGCCGATCAGGTTTGGGGCGCCTTCCCCTGTCACGAACAGAGCAGGGTGGATAGAGAGGTTGTGGCCCTGCCCCCTGTCACACAGAGAGCCGCAGGGCAATAAGGGGGTTTGGGCGCTGTCCCGTCACGCTGCTCCAGGGGCCAGGAGGCTTTGCGGCTCCACTGATCCCATTGCTGGGAGTCCTTGCAGCTCTGCTTGACACCGGGGCAATGAGGCCTCGCTGCTCAGCTGATCCCGGTGCTGGGAGGCCTCGCTGCTCCGCTGATCCCGGTGCCAGGAGGCCTAGCAGCTCCGCTGATCCCAGTGCCAGGAGGCCTCGCAGCTCCGCTGATCCTGGTGCTGGGAGGCATATTACCCTTTTACTATATAGGATAGAGGCCTGGTGCATGGGTGGGGGCTGGCTGGTTTGCCTTGAATGGTGTCCTGGATCAGGGTGGGGGTCCTGCTTGGGTGCCTGGCCAGCCTGGATGAAGGGACGATGGCTCTTTGCAGCTGGTCACACCCCCTTCAGGGTGGGGGTCCCCACTGGGGTGCCTGGCCAGTCTGGGTGAGGGGCTGAGGGCCGTTTTCAGGCTGGCGGGTGACTGAAGCTCCCAACCTCTCCTTTTTTTTGGGGGGGGGGGATTTATTTACCTTCTATGGCTGTCACTGGAGCTGAGAGCCGGCTTTAGCTCTGAGGCTCGGCTCCAGCTCTGAGACCTCGGCTGCTGAAAGCGAGGTATCTGGGCTTTGTTTAGCTTCTATAATTGAAACACTGTTGCAACTCCAGCTCTGAGGCCCGGCTGGCTGAAAGCAGGTTTCTGGGGTTTTGTTTAGCTTCTATAATTGCAACATAGTTGCTTATAGTGCAGCTCAGAGCTGGGAAGCGGCAGGCGGGGAACCTTGGCTTTCTCCATCACTGGAGCAAGCAAGCCTCCTGTTCGCTTCAGCTGCCTGGCTGCTGGCCGCCATCTTGGTTGGCAGTTAATTTGCATATCGCCCTGATTAGCCAATGGGAAGCGTGTCAGAGGTATGGTTAATTACCATGTTTGTCTATTATTAGATAGGATAAATTGAGAAACATTCTGTACTGGTTTACCTAAAAATCACACTTTAAAAGTAGTATAACGAACTC